CCAAGCCATGTGTTTTTGAAAATGTTTCCGGGGCACTTGTTCTCAAAGCCGTTACGACACCCGAGGTTTTTGTACGATTTCGGCATGCCCGCGCGACGACGCACGCGTGTGCACTTCGTTCCAGGTTTTGCAAATGGTTTTTGCGACAGCACGCGCGCAAGGGCGTTCGAACGCTTTCGACATGCGTGCGCGAAAGACCCACTTGGTAACATGTTCTGAACACGTTGTAGGACTTATGAATGTGTCAAAAATCTGCAAGGCAGCGGGCGCTTGTGTATATATGTATGTATGTATGCCTGTCTGTCTGTCTGTCTGTCTGTCTGTATGTATGTATGTATGTATAGATTCACATAAAACTCCGTGCTGCCTATCGCGACACTCGGTTTTGAAATCTTTACGAAGGATATCGACATGTTCGCGCGACGACGCGCGCGTGTGCATGTCACGTTTTCTTGCTGCGGATTTTTTGCAAACTAATGATTTATGACAAACGAGTGTGCGCGCACAGTTTTTTGCAGAGGATGATGGGGGGTGGGGGCGGGGGGAGGATGTCGATACCAGCCTGGTTGGGATGGTCTGAGTTCGTATTGTGGATGGGCCATGGGGCAGAATCGCATGTACATTGCAATTGGAAAAAAAAGAGAAAAAAGGCGAATCAATTTCGAGGGGGGTACATCTTCATACGTGTGGGAAAAGGGAGAACTTATGCGTTGCAACTCACCTTGCCGAACTTGAAGTTGTCAATTCCACCGCTCGCGCAATCATCCCACCCACCCACCCGCAACTCGATTTGCAAAACCCATGCGGCGGCGATTGCGATAACTGCTTGGTTCGCCCGCGCTGGCGCGCGCCGGCTTACATTGAAAAACCATGTGTTTTTCGTAAGCAGTGTTTTTAAAAACGCAGGCGCAGAGTTTTTTGAAACGTCATGTTGCAAAACCATTGTGTTCCAGACATGTTCGGGAATGTCTGTCCCGAGCTCTTTCCGACACCGTCAGTTTTTGAGATATTGCGGCATGCGCGCGCGCGTGTGGACTTAGTCATGTATTTTTGCACAAGAGGTCCTGAGTTGTGATGAGGTTTGATACAATCATACACGCTGTGCGCGCGTATTATTGTTTGACGAGGGTGAGGGAAAGGGAGGGGTTCGGCTGGGATGGCCTGAGGTCATGTCAAAAACGGACGATGGGGCAAAATCATATGTAAACCCGGGGGAACGGGGTGGTGGTTTCTGGATTTTCCTTTGTAGAATGGAGAGCATATGCGAGGCGGCGACGGGGCGGCGACGGCGGCGACGGGGCGGCGACGGCGAGCACGGAACCGCCAGACCGCCACCCAGTCCTAGACGACGGGCGGCGACGAAGAGGCGACGGGGCGTTGTCGGCAAGTACGGAACCGCCAGACCGCCACCCAGGCCCAGACGATGGGCGGCGACGGGGTGGCGACGGAGCGGCGACGGCGAGCACGGACCGTAATCCAGGCCCAGTCCTCAGAACAGAAGCAAGAACCTGTAAATGCAAACGCTGTTCGGGCAAATATGAATTTGAGAAGAAGGAGGAGGGGGAGAAGGAGGAGGAGGAGGAGGAGGAGAATGATGACAAATAATAGGAGGAGGCGGAGGAAGAGGAATTATAATAATGTGACGGACACACAAATCCTACCAATGCTATGGATAATTCAGTAATGATTACAAACATCGTAATTTTTGTAATAACGATAAGAAGGGTAATGCGAATAATCATAATGCGGAACATAGTAAAAACCATATTAATAATGATAGGGCTATGAATAAGAGTCGTACGGATGAGCATGAGGGAAAATGCGAGTAAGACGAATACAAACAAGAGGGATAATACGACTATGCATAATAATACCACGAACAGCAGTAATGTTCCGAACGCTATACATAATGCTGCACATACTTTTACCACCAATTGTATGATTTTACGTATTCGCAATAACATTCGTATTGCCACTACTACCACTATTACTACCACAACTACTACTATGACTACTACTTCTACTACGACCACTACTGCTACTACTACTACGATTACGACGACTACTACGACTACTACGACGACTACTACTACTACTACTACTACTGTTACCACTACCACTACTACTACTACTACTACTACTACTACTACTGCTACTGCTACTACTACGATTACTAGTAGTAGTAGTAGTACTACTACTACTACTACTACTTACTAATACCGCTACTTTTACTTCTACTACTACTA